CGTAAAAGTCTTATCTTACAGCCAGATTATTTATAGAGTTACCTGGACAAAATGACATAGAAAGAAAATTCTGACTCCATTTGTATCCAAATTCGGATCCCAGGATGGATATTTAAAATATAAAGACTTCTTAAAAGTTAATAGTTGGAAATTGTCCTAATATTTTTGGTAGGTTTATTTTTTATGGATGTATGGGAACTAGATGGGGTGTATTATTAATGGGTTATTGAATTTAATTTGGTGTTTTATGTTATAGGGTGTTTCAATGTTTCCATATATCATAAGTTTCAAGATACATGCTTACATGTGCAGCATTGGGAGAGACCACAACTTTATTTCTATTGATGACTTTTATCGTAGAATGACACATTTCTTGATTCCTAATTCAGTATTTGCTAATACTAAAGTATTACTGCCTCAGATCTTAGCATGGAAGTCAGAAAACTAGCATTTTCAGAGGTCAGCAGTGGCAGCCGCTCAAGTTGAATTCATTTTAACGCCTCTACTGCAGTCATGCAGACATGGACATGGCATTTGGAAACAGCTGAACCTACCAGCATGTTTTTAGGAAATGCAGGGAAATATATAAGCCGCCGCTGACAGCAAGTGAACCAAGAAGCGCAAGGCAAAAGCGTTAACTATTTCACTACCAGGCTGCCATGCCCAAACCGCCTTTTTTTCCCCCTTGGTTGCCAAGTCCTTCCCTGCGTTTATCGGCCCCCCAAGAGCCCCCCAGAATCTCCTTAATCAGCATCTAGCTGGCTGCTGTCACAGCAAGAAAATTGATAGGATCTGCATTGCAGATGAATCACTAGAGCCAGATTAGCTGCTGATGCTGAGGCGTCCGCTCCCAGCTCCGCTGCTCTCTGCAGTTTCCTTTGTCTTCCACTGTCTGCATCTCTGTATAGATAGGCAGACACATTCAACTGCTGGTGCCAGACACATACCGGTTGACAGACAGGCCGGCTTGTGGGGCACCAGCGCCATCTCGAGGATAAAATACAATATCACCCATTAGGCTGATCAGGGAAGTTTGGGGGTTATTTCATGAATAAGACAAGGCTAAAATTGTAGATCTGAAAGAAAAATGAAATAATTGCATTCCGTTTACCAGCTGATTGTACCCTTGAATTTTCTTAGTGGATCTGGTGCTATACAAATGTAGAGAATGGTGGCTGCACCAGTTGTTAGCCCGCGGAGTCTAGGACAAGGTCATTTGGTGGTCACCCGACAGCAACCTGCAGAGACACAGTTTTGAATGAAAGAGCCCTGGCAATGTAGACACAATCGGGAGATAGCTAACAAATGACCATTGGAGCAAAGAAGGAGAATGATGTTTGCAGCTTGCACAAAATCCAGACTTGATTTCAAGTGTTTCGTTTCTGTAGAGGGTCACACTACTTAGCCAACAATAAAAAAAACACCCCACGTTCTCTATACTGTTCCTCTAGTGCTATAGATACAATGCTTTCTATGGAACCTTCTAAAATGCAAGCCATAAAAAAAATGGTATAACAACATGCAAGAGCAAGAAACACATTTTGATGTCAATGAAAGTCTTTCAATTTAAGTGTATTTCCACTTTTGCAGTCAAATTTCAGAAACCCCTGCTATATGTTTGTTATATGTTCCCATTCACCCACATACCTAAAAATATACATAATTATTATTATTATATAGGATTTATATAGCGCCAACAGTTTGCTCAGCGCTTTACAATTTAATGGGAGACATACAGCAACAATACAGTTCAATACAAGAGGGTTAGGAGGGCACTGCTCCTTGGAGCTTACAATCTAAGAGTATTAACCACTTGTCCTCCAGAGGATTTACCGCCCCCCTTCCTGACCAGGCCATTTTTTGCAATACAGCGCTGTGTTACTTTAGCTGACAATTAACAGGATTTATATAGCGCCAACAGTTTGCTCAGCGCTTTACAACAGGAGACAATACAGAAACAATACAGTTCAATACAAGAGGGTTAGGAGGGCCCTGCTCCTTGGTGCTTACAATCTATATTTTTCTTTCAAGTTTTCTTTTGAGCAGATTTATACATTGGATTCTAAGAGTAGTTTCTGCTGTTTTACAAAGATGCAAAGTAGGGCAGTACAGTGGCTTAATGGTTAGCACTTGCACCTAGCAGTACTCCCTGTGCCTGCGTGAAGGTACTCTGGTACCTAGTAGGTTAATTGGCTCCTGTCTAAATTGGCCCTGGTCAGGGGCGTATTTACCACATGCCAAACAAGGCACTTGCCTAGGGCAGCATTTTTCAGGGGGGCAGCACCTCCCCCCAGAAGAAGGGATGGAAGAAGGGACACTTTCACCATGGGAACCAGGTGGGATCTGAGAGAGGCTGGCGGCTGCTTGATGGTGTATGTAGAGCCTGACTCTCGTTCCTGGGGATATCCAGAGCTGTGAAGATGAGTGGCGGTTGGTGGAAGGCTCTCCCAGGTTGTTGGTCAATATCAGGCTCTCTCCATGGGAGGGGGAAGGGGCAGATGTCTTTGTGTTGCCTAGGGCAGCACAAAACCTAAATACACCACTGGCCCTAGTAGGTATAATTGTGAGTTAGGGACCCTAGACTGTAAGCTTCTTGAATGCAGGGACTGATGTGAATTTTTAAAAAGTATGTATGACTTTTTTAAACATTAAGGCTAGGTTCACACTTTTGCGGGTGGTTGCAGGTGCTGTTCCCACACACCACAACCACCTGCAACAGGCTGCTTCCACAGATTGCTTATGACTAAGCACTTGACCGTGTGAAACGCGTTACCAGCTAGCATTGCCCTGGTGTTATTTGTATCTTTTTATGGATCAATAAACAATCTTCACTTTTACATCATACCTCTGGTGTGCGGCCAAACCCTTCTTCTTTTCTATGCTGATGTGATGGCGAGCCAGGGTCTGCACCTGTGTTGGGTTTGAAGTCGATTGTTTTATCAAAGTGGTATTTCTTTTCTTCATTGAAGACAGGTTGCTCTGTAGAGAAACGCAGGGCTGCCATTCATTCTTATTGACATCCCCACGCATCTAAACCCTCAGCGTGTTTGTGGGTTCTGGAACCACAGGGATATCATTGTACAAAGGCACCATGCGATTTCCCTGCAGCTGCATTTTGAAAATGATGCAGGCACCTTTTGTCTGTGGGAAACACAGGCAAAGCAGCCCATTCAAATGATTAGGTTGTCGTGCCTGCGCAAATGTGGGCTGCAAACCCACAAAAGTGCGAACCTAGCCTAACATACAATGCAGAACCCAAGCCATGAGAGACTATAAAAAAGTCAAATCTTTTTTTACTTACAGTCCAACACACCATATCTCCAAAGGGCCCATGATGCCCATGATGCCACTCTTTAGTGCAGAAGCGGGTGTAAGGGGAGTGTATCCCCTTGCTTTTCTCCACAGGTGTGTTTTTTACATGTAGTCAGTTATTTCAGATGTGGATGAGCCAGTATGTAATAAATAGACCTTGCATTTTGGTGGTCTGCTTCAAAAACTTTCATGGACTCCACTGGTACCTTCCGGTTACTGTCAGGGAATATTGCCATATCTAACAGAGAAATCTAGGTTGTCTTCCTTCATGACATGCTCCTGTAGTATAATTAAACCTTAGAACAAAAATGTAATATATTACAGCTGGCCAGTCCTGGCCAGATGTTGTGGCTGCATTCATTTCCTTTTTTTCAGGCTAGGTACATTGTTTTGGAGTACAGAAAACATACTTATCAGAAATCCAGTGTCCTTGCAAATTCCTGTGAGATGAACTGAAATTTTACACAATGTTTTAAGCTATTTTTCTGTTACCTCTCCTTCTTATTGATTGAAAGTGAGGAGGTATTTGTAACCTAAATCAGGAGAACAGCCTAGAGTGACAATGCTGATCTTCCACAGATACAGTATTGCGAGCAGGGGCGGACTGACAACTCATGGGGCCCCCGGGCAATAGGGGATCATTGGGCCCCTGTGTCCTTGCCCAAACTCAAAAAAGCCTATGAAAAAGGTACCAGGGGCATCTCATGGGGGGCCCCTACTAACCCCGGGCCCTCGGGCAGTGCCTGAGTTTCCAAATGGTCAGTCCGCCCCTGATTGCAAGGGAGCGTTGTTACCATAGAACAGAAAGTGTTACTGGCAGAATCATCAGGTAAACATGAAGGGAACAAAAACCTTAAAGGATAAGTCCACCTTTGGGAACATGTTACATGTTCCACCTGTTTTTAGGGTGGACCATCCAACATGTTCCCAATGCTACAGCCACTGCCTAATTCCTCCCCCCCCCCCCCCCGTGACAGAAGTACGGGGAGAAGTTGCCCGTACTAGCTGTCACTTTTTAAAAACAGCATGGCCATGAGGAGGTTTGCCAACACAGCTGCCTTATTCATTGACGGAATGTTCTGTGAATGAATGAAATACAAGTGTGGAGCATCTCGTACAGACAAGCAAATATACTGACAGGTCTGCAGGAGAACTGCATGGCACCAGTGATTTGCTGCAAAAAATATGCATTTATTATTTTGGTCAAAAAGTGAAGTTATCCTTTAACCACTTGCCCTCCACAGGATTTACCCCCCTTCCTGGCCAGGCCATTTTTTGTGATACGGCGCTTTGTTACTTTAACTGAAATTTGAGCGGTCATGCAGCGCTGTACATAAATGAAATTTATATCCTTTTTTCCCACAAATAGAGCTTTCTTTCTGTGGTATTTGATCACCTCTGCAGTTTTTATTTTTTTTGCTATATAACAAAAAATGACCGACAATTTTGAAAAAAAAAAACAATAATTTTGACTTTTTGCTATAAAACATGTCCAGTAAAAAAGTTTAAAAAATTTTATTTCTTCATAAATTTAGGCCAAAATGTATTCTGCTACATGTCTTTGCTAAAACAAAAATCCCAATACATGTAAATTAATTGGTTTACGTGAAGGTTATAGCGTCTACAAATGGTGGTATATATACTGGAATTTTTTTTTTTTTATACTAGTAATGGCGGCGATCAGTGGCTTATAGCGGGACTGCAGCAGGCATTCTGACACTGGGGGGAGAACTGACTAATTGTCACTGACATCCCAATGACACTAATACAGTGATCAGTGCTAATAAAAAGCACTGACACTGTACTAATGGCACTGGGCAGGAAGGGGTTAACATCTGGGGCGATCAAATGGTTAACTGTGTGCTGTTTTACTAAGTGTGCTGTCTGTGTTTTACTAGGGAAACATGCTGCTGCTGTGTATTTCGCTGCTATGCAGAGAAATACACAGCAGCATGTTACTGCTGGCAGGAGAGAGACCTGTGTTGTTTTTACACAGGTCTCTCCCCTGTCAGTGATACTCGGCAATCGCAGGGCGCCAGCAGAGAATCTCTGGCTGGGACCCGGTGATCGACATCTGTAGCCGTCAATGGAGGAGTGGGTAGGGAGGTGCGTGCATGCCACCTACCCAGGAAATGCAAAATCACGTATATATATATATATATATATATATATATGATTTTGTGCAGCCCTGCTGCCCTGTAGCAGTACTTCTGCTATAGGGCGGTCGGGAAGCGGTTAAAGTAGTAGCACACTATTTTGTATACTTTTACCTACAGGTAAGCTTACAATAAAGCTTACCTGTAAGTAAAATGATTATCTTCTAAATGTGCACCATCTAGGAGATATTCGCTCTTTTTGACAGCTGGCATATGCGCATACCCGTGCCGTTCCTTCAGCACTGTGCCATGCCCCAGGACTCCCACGCATGTATGAGAGTGACATCTTTGTGGCTCAGCCAGTCAGACAGCCGGAGCTCGCAAACACGGAAGGAAGACCGGGTGAAGATGGAAGCCTTTGCAGCGGTGACAGCACGGAGGGCTTCGTTTTAAGCTAAGTCCTTAAGGTTAGTATGCAATGCACACTAGCACATTATAACATTACCTTGCTGGAGATTTTACATTTCTTTTTTTGGGTGCTGTTCACTCCCACTTTAAAGCGTATATGTAGTCAAAATGTAAAATCACATATTTATTTCTACATTATTATTATACAGGATTTATATAGCTCCAACATTTTGCTCAACGCTTTACAATATAACGGGAGACAATACAGCAACAATACAGTTCAATGCAAGAGGGAAAGGAGGTATTTCAGTGCCTGCTCCTATTCATTTTAACAATCGTGATGTCTGTAAACTTACTAGGTGAAGATCCCCACGCATTTACTTCCTTGAATTTTGTGACAAGTATTCCCTATGCCCTGTGATTAGGCACTGCTGTGTCACACATTTCACAGAGCCTGCCTTCTGAAAATACAGAGGTGCTGAGAGGAGGAGTTTCAGGAGGCAAAGTCAGTACAGGAATCACTGCTTGCAGACAGCAAAGTACCATTGGATATGTAGTCTTTAGAAATTGAAAGTAAACAGCAGAGGAGAAGCTGCAGAGAATCCAGGAAGATATGGAAAGAGATGGCCAGCAGACAGGCAGCACGCACTACACGAAAGGAGAATTTTCAAGCAAATTTATATTGGATTGTCAGTAATAACTATTTTTTGTATTACTATTACAATGCTGATGTTATCAAATGAAAGTGCATACTGTGACCATTGATTTCCTTTAAAAAAAAAAACAAATAATTGCAACCAACAGATCTAAAGACTAGCAAGCTGCATTACTGCTAAATGCAATAGCCACTACTCAGTACTCTTACCATTGAACATTTATGCTTCCTTCAACCACTTCCTTAGGCTTCAAGACTCTATTGTTTTTGTTTCTCCTCCTACCTATCTAAAGGCTCCTTCAGTGTCACCTACAACTCTATCTCCTCCTCTTTCTCTTTTCATAGGAGTCCCCCAAGATTATGTCCTTGGACCTGTACGTCTCCATCTACATCTCTTCCCTTGGTCAGCTTGCATTATTATTATTATTATACAGTATTTATAAAGCGCCAATGGTTCGCTCAGCGCTGTACATTACAAAGGGGGACAGAACATGTGACAGAACAATACCAATACAATGTAAAACATGAGGGGATCGAGGGCTTGCATGGATTCTAATACTGTCTCTATGCTGATGACATGCAAATCTACTGTATTTCTCTACTCCAAAGCTCCCTCCTTCACTCTTCTTACCCATCAACTAATTTACTAATGAACATATTAGTATGGATGTCACACCACTCTCTAAAACGCACTCTTTCTAAAACTGAGCTCATAAAATTCCCTCCCCCATCCCATACCCTCTTATCTGACTTTTCCATCAAGATCAATAGCACATCTGTCAGTTCCTTTCCTCCTGCCAGAGTGGTAGGTGTAATCGTAGACTATGAACACTGCTTTCAGCCTCATATGCAGTTACTGTTCAAGTCTTGTTGCCTTAACCTCTGTAAAATTTCCAAAATGTGCCCCTTACTAACCAACTACCCCACCAGGCCACTAATCCACTCACTTATTATCTGTCGCCTTGATTACTGCAACTCTCATTGACCTACCTCTACACAGGCTATCCCCCTTCAGTCTCTCATAAATACTGCTGCCAGATTCATCCATCTTACTAATTGCTCGATGTCTGCCACCCCTCTCTGCTAATCCCTTTACTGGCTCCCGATCACCCAATTCATAAAATTTAAGATATTAATGACTTGCAAAGCCATGCTTAACTCTTCCCCTACCTACATCACCAATCTCATTTCAAAATATCATCCTCTTCAATCCTACCAAAACCTTCTGCTCTTTAGCTTCTCTAGTCCTCCCATACTCACCTCCGTCTTCAGAACCTCTTGTACACTCTGAAACTCCCTATCCCAACCTGTCTGGATATCTTCTAATCTGTGAGCCTTTAGGCACATATCTTTAGAAAAAGCCTATCCCACCTCTACCTAACAACTGCATTTTATTTTCTCAAACAACTCACCCCCCACCCCCCATACACACACACACACACAGTAATTACCTTTTGTATAACTTGCTCTTCCCTTTAGATCATAACCTATCGCAAACAGGGACCTCCTAAACCTCTTGTCTTGAATTGTATTGTAACCGTACTGTCTCCCTTTATTTTTAAAGCACTGCACAAGCTGTTGTAAACCCTATATAATAATAATAATGACATTTTTATTTTTGAGTTTAGATATGCTTTAATTCTCCTTTATGCTAAAAAAAAAAAACAGGAGAAGCCCTTTTACAACTGGTATTTTTTCCCAGTCAGATTTAACCCGGCCCTTGAAAAATGACATGTTGAATCTGGTAGGATGTGAGGATGTAATTCCAGGTCTTAATTATATTTTAAAACAATTAAGCACATACACTCTGAATGGTCACGTGCTTTGGCACACTTGAATTTGTTTGCTCACTGTTTCTCATGAAAGGAAAGTGTGCCAATCATTGTACTTTACTCAAGATCGTGCGTTTCAAGGCACAGAGAACAAGAACAAGTATAGCACCCTCCTAGATAGGTGCTAGGATTAGTTAGATTTAGTGCTGGCTCACTGAGTTTAGTGGAGCTAAGTGTGTTTTGTTAGGTACATTTAGCTTGCCTCATCTTAACTAGTGTGGCTGTAATCGTCTATCAGATAAATTTAGCTGTGCCCACTGCATCTAGTGTACTGTAGCTGATTAATTGGGTCAGTTCAGCGTTCATAGTTGCTACTAGTCTGATAGCGCTCTCTGCGTCCAGGGAGTAGTAGATTTCTCTGGCATATAGGTGTGGAGCTATGCAGATGGCAGTATGAATATTTATTCAGCCATGGCCAATACCGGGGAGCAGGGCCCTGAAGACTTCTGGGAAACTGCATAAATACTCTGAGAGACTGGGTTGGGTCTTTTCCTGCAGAGGATCATTCCAGCCAGGAGGGCTCCTGCCTACAGAGGCAACACTGTCATGTACTTGTTGTTCATGAGGACTCAGGTGGGACACCTAAGTGCCTAGAAGCTGAAGATACAGAGAGCTGATTGCGGGGCTGTCTGCTGAAGATTTATTGTAGTCTGGCATCACTGGAGAAAGATGTTGCTTAGAAGTTGGAAGGAGACATCCAACCATTCCTTGAATATTCTGTGAGTACAGACTGCTGTGTGAGATCTTCGAGACTTTTTGGCTGCTGACACCCCTCTTGGGCCAGAAAATCACTGGTGTGTTTGCTAAAGGGAACATTGGCTGGTATTCTGAAGAGCTTAGTCTATCTAGTCTTCTGTGAAAGGACTCTGCTCCTGTTTCTGTTGTAGCACCCTACTAGATAGGTGCAAGAATGTAGATAGATGAGTATACGTAGTATAATATGGTCTTCTGGGTGCTGGTATTTATACTCAATGAGCACATGGGATATAGGTTCTTCTTCCTCTTCTCCTGAGAAGGGATTTCCAGTCAGGGCTGAAGTTGCTGCCTACCCTGGCACATGCTGCCAGAGGGCTTCGGGTGCGTGACAGGAGGGCCAGAACTCTGAAACTCAGGGTGATTCTCAGAGCTGACTGAGGGGGATGTTTTCAGTTCCTCTCTGGTATCACAGGGGAAGGTGACCTGCAGCAACAGCCTTGTGAGTAAAGAACATTTAAAAGGGATCCTCGGACTTGTGCTGTTTAACCTTCTTGGGACCTACATAGTCAGCTGCTGGGTGTAAGCTAGAGGGGACACCGCCAGTGTCCCGAAGAGCAACTGTCCATGTAATTTCTACATTTCTACAGAAGGACTTTGCTCCATTCTTTGTACAGTCTGCTACTCAATTCTGCTAAGGAAACCCAAAGATCCTCTTACAGAAAGCTGTCCTCAATTGTGAATAGTTCAGTCCAACTATAATAACCATATAAACATATAACACTATATTCTTTCCTTATCCCAGTTCTACAATAACAAAACAAAAAAACAAACAAAAAACTACAACCCCCCTAGACTGATCATTGGAGTAACGAGTGGAAGTTGTGTGCACCTGCCTATAAAAAATACTGTGTGCTTGGTTGCGGATGAAGATTTTGGGGAACGCCTGGGCACAATACCAATGGCTCCTATGGGTAACACTACACTATAAGGAAGAAACTTGTGTGCTTTCACTGCTTCTATTAAAAAGCCTAGTCCACAGTCCACAGTTTGCTATATGCAATGACTTTTGCTTCAACTCTACATTTAACTGTTTCTATTTCAAACCAAGTCCACAGTTTGCTATCTGCAAGGACTTCTGCTTCAGCTTTACAGAAAGGAGTTCACTTTCCTCAACTTGTACATAGTTTCTGTTTTTGGAGTATCCCATTCAATTCCCTCTACTCTATCCGAGTTCTCCAATAATAAAAACAACAAAAAACAACACCCCTAGACTTATTAGTTATTGAGGAAAAGAGTGACTGTGTATGTGTGCCTGGCTGCGGGGCAATCTACAGGGAAAGAATCTTGGCAAATTTACAGTGGCTCCTTTCAGGGATGAGCACTACAGAAGAAAACACATAATGAAGCATAATGACCAGGTGCTATAAAAGCACATTCAGCTCTGAACACTATTTC